CGTTCATCATGGAAGAATTTAAATTTGTTCCTTTAATTTTTTGTAAGAGCTGAGGCAATTGTATTCATTTAGCTAATAAAAAAAGGCTACTTGCGAATCGGAGGTCTTTCCCATCCAGAGCAAGTGGCCAATGCACTTGCCTTAGGGTAGGACACCCTCGGATGATGATTTCAAACCCTCGCCTTCGCAGAACTTGTAGATGTACGCATTCTCTTCAAAGAGGAGTGAAAATTAGGACAACTAACATTAAAACTGTCAAGATGTTTAATCCCTATCACTTGATAAATGAAATCTGAGTAAGACCAACACTATAACTCACCCATCTTTTAACTGAGATTGGACTAACACTCTTAATAACAGGATGTCCTAACATAAATTAATAGCTTCAAGATTCCTCCAGATATAAAACTAAACGAAACAAAACACAGCAAATTCGTTTTATGGAATTTAAGCAACAGTTTAAAGTCAAAATTCTGGATCCCTACTTTCGCTCATTGTAGGGAAGGGAGTCATACACCTCATGCATTTTCCACGCACTTGGCATGCTGCAGTTTCTAGATTAATTGATCATGTTACAAAAAAACTCTCATAACGTTGCTTTCTGTCTTCCAGCTGCATCCTCATGTTCAACCTGATAAAAAAACCAGGGTTAATTCGAAAAACCGATATGAAATGAAGATCTAATTTTTCATATCAGAATTTAAAAGAACAATCCATGGCTAGACAAATAAAATTATGCATAGAACAATGGATGTGATGGATTTTACATCATAGGTAAAAAGTGATTTTCCTGGTAATTTTATGAGTTTGTTAGTTCAGATAAGCCGACCTTAAAATTAATGGAACGATGATGTCAACATTAACGGAGGGGAGGATGCGAGTTAGAGCAAGGGAGGGCACCACCATAGAAAGCACTATCCACCGTTCTGCTGCAGGACTGACCAAAAAGATGGGTTTTCAGCGTCGAGGGGAAGAGACCGACCTGTGTTTTTTGGCCGAAGAATCCGAGTCCTTTCCCTTGCGATTTTCAGAATTCAGGGGAAAGGAAGGCATATTTTCCTCTCTTTTTTTTTTTAAAAAAAAAACAAATTAATAGGGAGAGGGGGAAGGGGATCCCCAAAAAAAAATCCATCATTCAGCTCAAAATAGTATTTTCACTAACAGTAAAAGTGACAAACCACTTAACCTGTGCAAGGCACATGAATATACCAAAGTAAATAAGATGGGCAGTTTCCCGAATTATTTTTTATTCCAAGTAAACATAAACTAACTTCAGCACCACATTGCTTTTAAAGGAAAAGAAAGGGGGATTATTAAAAAGTAGACATAAACTAACTTCAGCACCACATTGCT